AATAAAAGCTGGGGGATCCCTGGGTGGCGCAGCGGTTTGGCACCTGCCTTTGGCCCAGGGCGCGATCCTGGAGACCCGGGATCGAATCCCACATCGGGCTCCCGGTGCATGGAGCCTGCTTCTCCCTCTGCCTGTGTCTCTGCCTCTCTCTCTTTCTCTCTCTGTGACTATCATAAATAATAATAAATAAAAATTAAAAAAAAAAGAATAAAAGCTGGTTACAGCAGAGATTGGATAAGAATCCAGATCTTTGACTCCTAGTCCAGTGCTTTTTCCTTTATGCAAGATGGTGGGAAGCAAGTCTAGGATCCAGACGTGTCTGGCAGCCTTGGTTTGGGATCATAAGCCTGAGAGACAGCAGTGCTTTTATTAAGAAAAAGAAGGGGGGTGTGGGGGGGAAGCAGCATTTTCACTTCCCTGCACTTCCCTTATCCACAATAAGCACGTGCTACCTGTATCATCAGAAACAAAGAGCGGGGAGGCAAAGTCACCCTTCTGAAAGGACCCTTAGGTTGGCCCTGGGGTTGCTCTGGGCTCCTCCCTGACATTTTTGGGTACTCTCTGATCCATCACCACAGGCCATCTGGGTCCATCTTATGGGCAGGGGGATGGGAAGCAGGGCTGGGGAAGAATTCTAGAAGTTCCTACTGAGACTGAAGTGAGCAGACACAGACACAGGAGTTCCCAGGTCCGTGAAACGCCCTGACATTGGAAGCTGAATGCTGTAGGCCCACATCTTTTTTTTAAAAAAATTTTTTTAAGATTTTATTTATTTACTCATGAGAGACAGGGGGTTGGGGGGCACAGACACAGGCAGAGGGGGAAGCAGACTCCATGCAGGGAGCCCAACACGGGACTCAATCCCTGGTCTCCAGGATCACACTCTGGGCTGAAGCGGCGCTAAACCGCTGAGCCACCAGGGCTGCCCCCACATCTTTTTTAGAAGGGGCACCCATGACCCTCCAAAGGGTAAGAATCCCAGATCACAATGATGAACCAGAGCTTCAAGGTGGGGATGACTGCTCAAACAAGCACCAAGAAACCTAAAAAATCTTGTCTCCCTCTGAGAGTACCTGGCAAGGGTAAGAGAAGTATGAATAGAACAAGGTCCTGCCTCATGTACATCTCACAACATTAATTTGAATTCTGCTTTTCTTCCCCCTGAGTCGATCCTTTCCCCCATTCAAGGCAGTAGGGTGGACAGGCATAATTATTTACAGCTCCAATCTCAGACACCCTCCTCTTTCTGCCTGGCCTGTAGTTGATAAAGTACAGTTTCTGATCCTGGGGGCAGTGTGTCCACAGCTTCTTATCTGGTCTCCTTACCCAGGGACTAAGCCTCTGATTTCCATACTGTGGCCAACTTTCTTCCCAGGTGCTTCCTAAAAAGCCAGCTGCAAGTCTCAGCAAGCACTGAATTCCATTCTACCACACTGATCCAGCTCCTACCATGTGCTAGGTGTTATGACGCAGTCACAGTTGGTGGAATAAATTCTCAGTGTGGCCTGAGAGACTGCAGGTTAATGGCAGGACAGATAACACTCACCTGTCAGGTTGGGGGAGGGAGAAACTGCACAAAGGTGAGACACCACCCCACCACCCCCTGTCTAGGAGGGCAACTGATTGGTGATTGCGGCTAGGGATTGAGGGGGTAGCTTCTTGGAGGTGCAACAGTAGCTCTGGAGCTGTGTATGAAGGGGAAGGATCCCTCTGCGAAGGAATGGGGGAGGCCTTGTAGTACTGTAGGAAGGGCAGAGGCAGTAAAATGCTGGGCAAGTTTGGGAAACAGGCAGCAACTAGAGCCTGGGTTGTGGGGGGGAGGAGGGGCAGAAAGGAAGGAGAGAAACAAGGTTAGAAGTGGGTTATGGCCAACTGGCCAGAACGAGAAGGACCTTGGTGTTCCACTAAGGAATCTGGATTTTATCAGACAGTGCGTAGGTGTCATTGAGGGTTTTAGAGCAAAGCAGGTGGGCTCTATGCTCAGATCTATGGCTAAAAAGATCACATTGTAGAGGATGGGAGAGCAAGGAGAGAGCTTGGAGATTGGGAAACAGGACACGACTATACAGCCCAGCATGGGAGATAATGGGGCCCTTTAACTACAGCCAGGGGTGGGACCAGCTACATAATTTATGGGGGCTGGTACAAAAAAGAAAATGCAAGGTTTCTCGTCCAAAAATTGTTAAGAATTTCAAAAGAGGGACAGCAGAGCATTAAAGTAAGCAGGGGCCCTGTGTAGCTGCGCAGGTCAGACACCCACGAAGCAAGTCCTTCCCCAGGACTGGAAAGGGCAAGTCAGAAGAGAAATCTGGAAGGCAGAGTCCTGGAATCTGGTGATCATGCTGGACGTGGAGAGGCTGACAGATGACTTTTCTGCACTGGTTGCCAGGTCACCCCGCTGCTTACTGGGCACCCCCTTGGGTGGTCCTTGATCACCTCTAACTTAACATGCCTGAATTTCAGCCCCTTCTCCTCCTGCTGCTACTCACCCAGATCTGTTCCTGTAGGTTCCCTAATCTAAAGGTGTCACCATTCACCCAATTACCCCAGTTGAAAACCTTGGCGTCACCCTCTGTCTCCCCATCCCGACCCTTCCGGCAATTTACTTCCTAAATGTTTCTCCCATCTGTGTGGCCTCTCCAATCGCTGCTATCACTGCCAAGTTCCGGCAGGCCCTTATCAGCTCAGGCCTGGATTACCCACAAAAGCCTCCTATCTGGCTCCCTGACTCCAGTCTGGACCCCTACCCCCACTCTCAAATAAAACATCCGTCCTCCACAGTGCTGCCTCACAGAGGTTCCCAAATAAATGTACCCCCCCCCCACCAGGACACCTCATCCAGGGCTGCCCCTGCCAGAGGGTAAGATCCAAATGCCTTAAATGACACACAAGGCCCTCTGTCACCTGACCCTGCTTAATTTTCTAATAAATGCCAGAGTGTCTTAGTCTCTCACAAACCTCCAGCACACATCAAGCCAGCATTTTGTTTTTTCTTTACCTCTAGCAGTTTCCTCTGCCTGGAATGCCTTCCTTCCTCCTCCTCCCCTTTCAGTGGCCTGGCTAACTTCAATTCATTCCTTGAAGTTTCCCTCAGCTCTCCTCTCCTGCTCTGGGAGGCCCTCTCAGGTCCCCCCACTCCCCACACCCTGGATGCTATTCCATACTGACTGCAGGACCTTAAAGAGGCCTGTGGCTGTGCCAAGCCTCCTCTCTGGGCTGGGAGCAACCAGTCTTGCTCACTCTGGTGTCCAGCACCCAACATGGAGCTGGGCCATGTGGGTGCTCCATACATGTGTGGCTCTGGGCTGAAACATCTGGTGGTGGATGTTGCTGGTGACACTGGAGGTGGGTGCAAACTGCAGGGAAGGCTGGCAGGAATAACCCCAAAGAGAGAGAACCCCCCCCAGACATCACATCTTCCTTAGGGCTCCAGGGGCAGGGCCAGGACAGTGCTCAGATTGAATGCAGCTGTGACCCAATAACAACTATCTAGCGTCCGGTTTGATTGCATTTGATTTCAGAATTTGATCTCTGCTTCCTTCTAGAAACCTCATTCTCCTGTGTCTGTAGTAAACAAGCACCTTTCTCGTGGAGGCAGGCTGTTTTGTACTGAGCAGCTCCCTCCCTGCTCCAGCTAATAAAACGAAAATGGTGGGTCACCAAGCTGGAGAGTAGAGGCAGGTTCCCTCACACCTGTTCCTGCAGCCAGCGGAGCCCTGGCACGAAGCTGGCCCTCAACGAATGCCTGCTGAATGGGTGAACGTGCCCAGTTCACCAAGATTGGAAGGGATGGGAAGCCTGAAGCTGCTGGGGACTGCTGGGGAGCAGACAGCCTGGGATTAGGCTTGATCCACAGATAATCCCCCAAATCCAGAAGCCACCTGGACAGTTGCCTGGACTGAGCTCCGTCAACGGATGCACGTTGACGCTGCAGCCGATTCCGTGATAGATTTTCCAGGGGCCAGAAGACGGCTCCTCAAAAATAAAAAATAAAAAAAAAAAAAACAATTATTCTCATTATTGTTAAGTGTTACAGAGAAAAAAGGACTGCCCATCCTTTGAGGGCAGAATCCATTTGTGGAGATAAACTACTGGCTCTTCTCTGCATTTTGACTTTGAGTTTGCCTTTATTTCATTCTTTTTTAAGATTTTATTTATTCATGAGAGACACAGAGAGAGAGAGACAGAGAGGCAGAGACAGGAGGGAGAAGCAGGCTCCACGCAGCGAGCCCGACGCGGGACTCGAACCCGGGACCCCAGGATCAGGCCCCCGGCCGAAGGCAGGCGCTGAACCCAGGCGCTGAACCGCTGAGCCACCCGGGGATGCCCGAGGTCACCTTTATTACAGAAAACGTCAAGCACACAGAAACGTGGAGAAAACAGTATAAGGAACCCCGCCGCAGGTGGCCGTGCCTGCACGCCAACGGTCACCAACACAAACCCAATCTGGAGTCTTCCAGAACTCATCGCTAGAGGCGAGGCGCGTAGCCCGTCGTTCCCGCGTCAGGCCTCGGGGAAGCCCAGGCTCCCGCACCGGCTGCCCCGGGGGCACGGGCGGGGGCACGGGCGGGGCACGGGCGGGGGCACGGGCGGGGGGCGGGGGGCTGCCCTCGGCCCCCAGCAGCCTCGGCGCCGACGTCTAGGAGCCTCCGAGGCGGATCGCGCGGCGCCAGGCCCTGCCTCCCCCGCCGCCCCCTCTTCCCGCACAGCGTGGGTCACCTCGGCCTCACGGCGCTCCTGACACCCGCCGGCGGCCCCCGGTGATGCGCGAGTGAGTGTGCCCGCGCCGGCCGCAGAGCCGAGGGAGGCGCCCGCCACTTCCTCTCTCGCCGGCTGACTAAGGCCGCGCGCCCGCCCCACGCCTCCGGCTCGCTCCCCGGGGCGGGGCCAGACGCCAGGGGGCGGGGCGAGGCCCATCCGGCCTTATATGGGCAGCCACGTCACGGGGCGCACACTCATTCACATAAAACGCGGCGCTGCCGGCGGAATCCCCGGCTTCTGGGGCGGCGAGTGGCCGGGCCGGCTGCCGAGCGTGCGGGGCGGGAAGGAGGAGCTGCGCGGCCGCTCCGGCTCCGGCTCCGGCTCCGGCTCCGGCTCCGGCTCCGGCGCCGGGCTCGGGCGGTCGGGGGCGCGGCCGCAGCCTCGCGGGCCGCCGTCCCGTGCCTCGCCGCGGGCCCCTGCCGGGGGCACCTACGGGGCGCGCGGCATGAAGGTCACGTCGCTCGACGGGCGCCAGCTGCGCAAGATGCTCCGCAAGGAGGCGGCGGCGCGCTGCGTGGTGCTCGACTGCCGGCCCTACCTGGCCTTCGCCGCCTCGAGCGTGCGCGGCTCGCTCAACGTCAACCTCAACTCGGTGGTGCTGCGGCGGGCCCGCGGCGGCGCGGTGCCGGCGCGCTACGTGCTGCCCGACGAGGCGGCGCGCGCGCGGCTGCTGCAGGAGGGCGGCGGCGGCGTGGCGGCCGTGGTCGTGCTGGACCAGGGCAGCCGCCACTGGCAGAAGCTGCGCGAGGAGAGCGCCGCGCGCGTCGTGCTCACCTCGCTGCTCGCCTGCCTGCCCGCCGGCCCGCGGGTCTACTTCCTCAAAGGTGAGCGCGTCGGGGCGCCCGGCCCCCGCCCCCGCCCTCCCCGCCCTCCCCGCCCTGCCGGCCCGCCGGGGGGGGGGGGGCTCCGGTGCGCTCCTCGTGCGGGGCGCCCCCCCACGCCCGCCGCCCCCCGCCCCGGGCGTCGCCGCCTCCCGAAGTCTGCACCCAGGGCTGACGTGCGCCCGGGAGGCCGCTGCCCGTGCCACCTCGCAGCCTCGCCCTCCCACCCGCGTTCCTCGAAAGCTCCGGGCAGCCGGTCGGCCCGGGCCGCGGGGGGCGGGGGGAGTCCCGCGGCGGGGGCCGTCGGCTCGTGCCGCGCGCGCCCAGCTTCGCCGGCGTAGCCGCCCTCGCGGGCCCCGGGGCTCCGAGCCTTGCTCCGGGACGGATCTGGCGGCATCAGCGGGTCGCGCCCCCAACCCCCCCCCCCCCCCCCGAGCGTGGCGCCGCGGCGTCCCCCTCCCTCCCGCCTGGACAGTTAACGTGTGCTAGGCAGTCTTCGCCGACCCCTCTTGCCTTTTTGACCCTGGCCAGCCCCTCCCCTTCCTTTCCACTGCATTTTACTGCTTTTTATTGTTTTCCTCCGGCCTCCCCGTCTCCCCTCCCAGGTCTTTCTCTAGCTCCATTTGGAACCGACAGCCTTCCCACTCTTCCTACCCCTTCCCTTAACTGCCCCCCGCCCCCTGGCCCCCAGGTCATCCCCGGGGCTGGCTCCCTGACGGCTGCCAGGGGTGGGGGGCGGCCGGCGGGTGAGCCAGGATTTGGGAGAGGCGTAGCGGGCTGGTGGCCAAAGGGACCCCGTCGCCTTTGGTCTGAGTCTGCCCAGAAGGTGCCCCACCAGTCCGCCCATTACACCTGCTGGAGAGAGGACTTTGACTTCTGAGCCTTGTAGTGAGCAGGTGACTTAGTTTCAGACTACAGAGCTTTGATTTCTGGATCCCTTCCTATGACTTCTCGCGCCTTGTCTTGAGCCCTTTGTAATCTCCCATGTGTAGAAGACCTAGTCCACAGTGCAGAGATGAGAGTTCAGCCGAGCTGTGCCCCGAGGCCCTGCCAACCCTGTTGCCGACTCCTTGAGCTACAGCAGGGATGTGGTTCAGAACTCGGATGCAGTGAGCTGAGGATTAGGGCCCTGTTTTAAAACCATGCAGTTTGGGGAATTTCACACACTCTAGGCCAGGAGATCACCCGTGCAGCCCCCACCTCCATTAGCACCTCTTACAGACTGTCCCCTGTTTATTCCTGTTAGGGAGATGACAAGCAGAAGATGGTCATCTTCTCTGCTTGCAGGGGATGGAGAGATGCCCTCCCAGCTCTGCAGAAGTTTTCGCACTTAGCCTGGGATTTCTTTCTCTTCCTGATGTGGTTTTGTGTCCTGTTCTTAGTAATGGGTACAGGAAAAGCTACTGCCTCCCCTGTAGCATGAAAGAAATGTTCCAGGAAACCCCTCCGGGTCCTGCCTCTGCTCCCTACCCCTCTGGGGGGTTGGGGGGGGGCATGCTGACTGTTTAGCAGAAGTTACTGCCACAGGAAAGAAGGAGTTCTATAGACTCACATCTTGGGAAAATTCATGTCTAAAAAATTTTTTTTGAGAGTAACATATACAAGTAAAATTATAAAAGCACAAAGGCTGTACAATGAAAAAAGTGTCTTCTGCACACCATTGAGCCCGGTTGCACTCTCCAGAGACAGCCACCAACTTTTTTTTGTTCATCTTTAGACAAGCTAATTTTCCATGAGTATCTTTAAAAAAGAGGATGGTTTTGTATATTTCCAGTTCCTGCTTCTTTCACTTACCTAGATCTTGGGAGACTTGTCCATATCCAAGCATACATGTCCATTTTACCTTTTAAACCAGTCCTCTACTGGTAGCCAGTAGGTTTCTTTCAACCTCACTATTCGAGGCAGTGTGGTAGAGCATATTTTTGTCCAAATGCTTGGTGTGTGTACTATCTTTCAGTAAAATTCTGAGAATTGCCAGGTTGATCGTTGTGTGCCTTTTAAATTTCAGTAGAAATTGCGGGATACCTACTGTTACAACAGTACAAAACTTAAGTTGTTGCCCAAGAAAAAATTTATTTACTTATCTACATCATGTCCAGATATGAATTCAGGTTTTAGTCTAGTGGCATTTCAGGTCTTGGGGGCAATGCCTTTCATCCTTTCTTTTAGCCTCCGCACACCCCCGCACCCCCCGTCCCCAAATAACACTAAAATGAGATGACTGAATGACATTGTCACTGTGTATTTATATACAGTGTCCATACACCTTCTCTGTTCCCCTGGTCATGCAGCAGTGATCAAAAGCGGAATCACTCTGAAGAGGGTTGAAGCAGCCAAAAGAATTGCCACAGCTCTGGCAACTCAAGAGTGAGGCACCAAGGAAGAATGATCTGTCTGTTCATGCTTCTGAGGGGACTGGGTAAAAGAGACCACCACCTAATCTGAAGGACTCCTGACCCCAGCTTGAAGAGACAGGATCCTGTTTATCTGTCCCTCAATGACACTGAGACTCTTGGCCTGCCTGCCTTATTTTGTCAACAGGCAGGCGGAACCCAGCCCACACCGCACCTCCTGTCTGTCCTGACAGCCATCTCTTAAGTGTGCTATTTAAAGACGAGATGTGGTGGCCTGAAGGCTTCTCTTTCCCAAGCCTCATTCTTGGGAAAGTTGGGGAGGGCCTGGGCCACTCTTACTCCCGATTCCCATCCCGTATCACCCTGTCTCCTGGAACCCAAAACATTGGAGGCCCAAGCACAGGAAGTGATTTACTAACGAGGGTCACCTCTTTCAACAAAGCTGTGGGTCACTAATTCGAACATTCTCTCTGCCTCCTAGGAGGGAAAGGGCCGCCCAGGAGGGAAAGGGCCGAGGGGCTACAGTGAGGGGAGGGGGAAGCTAAGCCACAAACACCACTGCCTCCCACCTCAGTCATTCTCTGACATGTGGGCTCCTGTCATGACTGGGAGGACCAGAAGCTGATCTGGGGAGGCCCATTGGGCTTTTTGTTGAAGTGACCACAGAGGAGATTGGAGTGTACTCATGGGGGCGGGGGCAGTTCCAGCAAGCTGGGAGGAAGCAGTAATGGCAAGATGACTCATTCTAGGAATTGGCTGCAGCTTCTGGGAGGGAGCTGGAGACCGCCATGCTATCCATTAACCATTTGTCTACTGCAGGGGTTTAAAACCACCGAGCGCTCCACTGTGGGGCGATCACAACACCCAGAGACAGAAGAAAGAGGGGACTTTGTGGAAAATACACAGTCTCAGGATGCATATTTAATCAATGATTTGACCCTAAGTGAATTATTCGGGTCAGAAAAATATAGAAGGGTTTTTTGGGGGCTCTCAGAAGCCCCTTAGGTCCTTTTGGATTGGGAGTGAGGGTTTCCCCAAGTGACGGCTGGCCTATTCACCTGGTAGCACTTGGCATGTTTTTCATTTGGTTCTTTCCTACTGAGTGCTGGGCCTGAGATTGCTTTAATATACCCAAGTTTCTGTGCCTTGGTCACAGTAGCTTTTACCTGAAGTTTCCCATCTGGAGAAGTTTAAATGTAATCTAAAGGATTTTTACAGAGTCCTACCTGCTGGTAGTTGTTATCTGAGGACATGCTGTGGGGAAGATCAGAAGGGAAAGTTAATAAGGTAGAAAGGGAGGGTAGGTAGTCTTGAGGGGGAGAGAGTTTTTACTTATTGGGACTGAGAATTGAGTTCTAAGGGCCTCGTGCCTCTAGTTTGGTTTGGAGGGTAATTAGATTGATTACTCAAAATTGGACCTATAAAGAGGATTATCAGCAGTGTTCTTTAGCACCTTGGGAGTGAGAAAGGGCAGGGCTGTTTAATTGCTCTTAGTTTAAACCTCATATTAGCCCCCATTCCCTTATGAATAGAGGGGGTTCCATCCATAATCCAGTTCAGAGCTAATGGGCCAGGGATAAAACTGACCAATTTAGGCATCTCTTGCAAATGAATGAAATTCTGCATAATCACACCTGCATTTTAGACAAACGAGTGAAAATGGCTTTTGTTTTCTGGAGGGATTTGGTTAATACTTGCCAGATGTCAGATTTCCTTTCAGCTGCTTCTGATAGACACAAAAAGTTAATGATTGCCTCTCTGAACTATAACTTCTTAGAAGAGCGAGTGTGTGTGTGTGTGACCCATTTCTGTTTTAAAGCTATTCATTGGTTGGGCTCAATTTTTATTTTATAAGACCAGAATCTATGTTAGCTTAATATTCTTGACTTCCACACTGAGGGTATTGATTAATTCTGGACATTTTCTGAAAGCCTGAGAAATCAATGCTTAACATCTATCTTCCTTTTTTTTTTTTTTTTAACCCCTTGCAGGGGGATATGAGACTTTCTACTCTGAATATCCTGAGTGTTGTGTGGATGTACAACCCATTTCACAAGAGAAGGTTGACACTGAGAAAGCCCTCATGAGCCAGTGTGGGAAACCAGTGCTCAGCATCAGCTACAGGCCAGCCTACGACCAGGTAAGTGGTGTGGAAGTGCTGTCTTGGCTGCTGACTCTGTTCCTCCCTCGGCCCCCTGGCTCTTCCTCTCCCCACTCGCTCGGTGGCACTGGTTCGTTCTTTTGTGGATCAGAGTGTTGGCAGAGCCCTCTAGCTTCAGAGAGCTATGGCTTGCCAACTTGAGTTTCCATCCAAGAGTAAATGGGCTTCTTTCCAGCAAACAAGCTGACAAGAGCAAACCGAGCCACAGGATGCTTGACAGCTTCTGGAGAAAAGGGGAAGTGAAAGATACATTATGATTAGCTGGCCTCGGAAGTGCAGAGAGGCTTCAAAATACTAGTTTAGGTTTCCCTGAAGATGTTTCAGAGCTGACTTTCAGGCTTCCTGTGTTAATCTTTGTAATTGTTCGTGCTCTGCAATTTCTGCACAACAACCTAGGACCTGTCAAGATGTGTCTTATTGTTATTTTTAACCGAAACAGGGCTGGGGGAATGGATGGCTATTTGGATGGCTAAGCAGGCCCCAAGGGTTTCTGGTGCTTACAATTCCATAAATTCTGAAGCCCAGAGAAGATCAAGAGACACCGTAGAGAATTTCAAGCTCCTACAAATATGTGGGGTTTTTTCCTTCAAAGTATTCTACTTTCCAGCAACTCTTTAAAGGCTGAAAATGTGGAAGACTCAATCAGGGGTTCCCTCCAGTGCTGGAGGATGAGGGAAAGGCGGGCAAGGATCTAAATCTAGCAGAAACCAGAGCGCGAAGCCCACCTTCCTATTTTACAGAGGGGGAGGAAAAAATGTATCTCACAGCGGAGATGATCTCTTTGCAAAGAATCCTGTAGCTGGGCTCCTGGTAACAGTAGGCCCAGAACTCCTCCCTTCTCTTAACTCTGATTCTTTTCAGGACCTTGTTCTGTTTTCCACAGAAGCAGAATTCCTTTTGGAAAGGGGCCAATCTGGGCACCTGACTTGGCAGGAGGATCTTTTCAGGTTTTCTCCCCAAAATAATTGCATATCACAATCCTAAAGAAGGAAGATGCCTGGATGCTGTCTAAAATGACTGCCTGTCATGAGCAGAGCTCTGCCCCTGGGAATAAACTTCCCAGTAAAGCCAAGTGGCTTTCCTTGAATGGGATCCTTGGTTAGGAAGTCTGTTAGCTTGGCAAGGTGCCAGGGTTATTATTTTGTTTGTTTTCCTTTATTAAAAAATACAGTGTATTTTTTTATTTTTTTTAATTTTTGAACCCTTAACATTCAAGTTATGGGCATGTGGCTTCACTGGATTTCTATTTTTTGTTTGTTTGGGTGGTTTACCCTCGCTTCGCAGAAAGTGAAAGAGAAACAAGAATTGTCAGGATGTTGTAAAGGCACAGCAGACGTTTGGCCAAGAGAGGACTGGGGAGGCCCTGATGTGTCTCTAGGGTTCATCTGGGGAACCCCCGAGTGCTATTTCTTAGAAGCGCGTCTGCATTGAGAGAAGCCAGGCAAGCTTGCGTTAACCTTTGGGGTTTCTGAAGGCCGTTGGTTTCTTCCTCTGGAGTCTAAACAGAGGGATCGGAAAAAGAAAGCTATATGGTTTTGGGGGGTTGTTGTTTTAGGCTTTAGAAGTAATTGGATAAGATCCCAGGCCTGGTGTGTCAGTGTTTTCCAGGCAGTAAAGAGAGGGAGACATCCATGTAGGTACATCTGAAGTGTTAAGTCCAGGTGGGGCACCTGGAGGGGCTCAGCCGGTTAAGCATCAGACTCTTGATCTCAGCCCCCAGGTCTTAATCTCAAGGTCATGGGTTTGAGCCCCTCACTGGGTGCAGAGTCTACTTAAAAAAATATATGCATATACTGTTTGTTACTCTATCTTTTGTAAACTAGAGTTACAGAGGAGTTTGTAAACTCCTCTATAACTTCCCCCAAGTGGCCAAACCGGCCTTTGCTTAAACACTTTTTCTCAGGAAAGAAAAAGCACACACGGCATGCCAGGTAATTTGAAAATTGCGTTTTGCTGGCAGGAGAAGAAGGGGGTACCTTCTTCTACCTACCCCTTGTCCTATGCCCCTTTCCCTGTTACGGGTCTGGCAGTTTCCATTCTGCTTTTATTCCAGGACAGGAAATGGAAATACAGGAAGCGGGTGGATGAGGGGAGAAAGGCTCCCAAAGACACAGCCACTGTCCCCCCAACCCCAGTGTTTCTAAATCTCTAGACTCTCCCATTGTTGCAGTTAACTTGGGTTTTTCTTGCCACCCTGGAGGTGCTAAGACTGCCAGAGTCTGACCGGCAAGCTGTTGTTCTTTTTAACTTTGCCTCAGGGTAGATGGTCTCTGCTTCTAATTGGGATCCTCCTTCACTGGAAACCTGGTGTGTGGGTGGCCTTCCAAAAGGGTGGTGATGTCAGCATCTCTCACAAATGCTCAGCCCCACGTGAGGAAGATCAGGGGTAGGAGAAACCCCTCTCCCCTTGGCTTAATAGCTTTTCTTTAAGGGTTCTAGGTAAAACAGTGGTCATTTCCACTTCCAAGAAGCATCCTTTCTTGGGGGCACATTTTATTTATTTATTTTTAAGATTTTATTTATTCATGAGACACACAGACATAGAGGGAGAAGCAGGCTCCCCATGGGGAGCCTGATGTGGGACTCAATCACAGGACTCCAGGATCATGACCTGAACCAAAGGCAGATGCTCAACCACTGAGCCACCCAAGCACCCCTTTGGGGCACATTTTAACATCTCTGAAACCCACGTGTATCTTAGGACCAATCATCCGTACTCTAGGCTTGATGAAATAACACTGTAGGAACATCGGGGCTATAAAGTGGAGGTACTCGTCTTGTTGACATCTGTTTCATCTAGAAAGAAACCGAGGCTGCCCCACAGTTAGAAGGCTTGCCCTGGTGCTGTCGGAGCAGCTAGAACTTGAATGTAAGCTTCTCAGTTCTTCCCGTCACGCACATCTTCTCATCCTTATCAGCACAGGAAGGCTGTTAGCATGTCCTCTCGCCTCAATATGTATAAGAAAATGAAAATCTTTGCTGTGTGGGCTTTGCCATCACTGAGTCACAAGGCAGCAATGTCAGGTAGAAAGTCGGCCAGGATGGAGGCTCCACCCACACTCCTGGTTCAACTACCCTGGCTCTGAACTCTCTACCTGGAAACCAGAAAGGGAACCTCCCACCTTACCGACAAGTAGGTCAGGGTTGTTTTGTTTCCTCTCCTAAAGGAGTGAGTTAATCCAATGTTTCCTTCGCCCTTCTTTCCAGGGCGGCCCCGTCGAAATCCTTCCATTCCTCTACCTTGGAAGTGCCTACCATGCATCCAAGTGCGAGTTCCTCGCCAACCTGCACATCACGGCCCTGCTGAATGTCTCACGGCGGATTTCCGAGTCCTGCACGACCCACCTACACTACAAATGGATCCCTGTGGAAGACAGCCACACAGCCGACATTAGCTCCCACTTTCAAGAAGCAATTGACTTCATTGGTAGGTTCAGTCATTCGCCCTCAGTCATTTGGGGGTGTCCCAAAGGGGCACCTGTTCTTGGTTTTGAGGTACTGATGGAGGCTCCCTTTGCCAAGAAGAAAAGTGTCTTGTATCTGCAACCACCAGGCGTTGGGGCCAGGAAGAGATGCAGCCACCAAAGAGGCAGAGGGGAGGATTCAAGTTGCTATTAATAGGAGCTTTAATTTGCAAGATAAATGAATTAATATAATTTTATGGCAACACTCACTGCTGCTTGTTCTTGTTATTTTCCCTAGCTGGGCGGGAAGCAGAGTGTGTCCGTGCGTAATGCTCCACGCCAGGGAAGCAAGGGAGGGAAAGAACCATCCTAACTGTGCTTCTACGTAGGTTGGGGTATTTTTAAAAAGCAAACAGAAGGATTGAGAGAGCACCAGTTACACACTGAGCCCTGAGGGCCCTGGCAGCTTTTCACAGTTTTTGGCAGACTGCTTTAGGGGGCAATTTGTTTTGCATTTTCAGCTAATTTTGGATTAAGGATAGCATTTGATCAAGCTCCATGCTCTGTGCACAGAGAAGTTGGCATCTCTTATACCTTGTGTTAGGCAGTTATCATTCGCTCCCCTGTGCAGGCCTGGAAACCTCTGGTCTCTGCCTGGAAAGGGCTTTGGGTTTCTATCTCTTCAGCCTAGCCTGGATTGTTCCCTTATTTGACAGCTTCCCCCACACCCCCAATTCCTCCCACCTCGGTGGCTAGGCTGACTTTTTTCCATTTCTGATTTGCAAGCACCACTCCCCAACCTTGTGGCCTGTCCTCCCCTTTCCATTTAACATGCGTGGAGGTTGAAGCTGAGACGTGATTTTCCTTACCTTGACTTGAGGGCTTTTAGAGGGGGAAACGCAGAAATGCAGGTGTTGGACACAGCAATAACTATTTAGGGCAGGTAGCAATTAAGGAGAGCCCTTCAGCCACATGGTGAGCCCTGTGCTCATCACACGTGGTTTCTCCTCTACAGGAAACCCATTGGGAAAGTCACCAGAGGCAGAGGGCTAAGCCTGTCCTGGTGCTCTGAGCTTCTGGGCTGAGAGGTTTCCTTTGGATCTCTGAGAGGCAGCCCAAATGATAGGTTCAGAATGGGAAACCCTTGACGTTGTCTCCCTGACCCTGGGAATGCCTTGCCCTTCTCTGCCTGTTATTTAATTACCTAGATAGCTACTGCGTGAGGTCATGAAACCCGCCCCCATCCATTTCTCAGAAGCCTCCCTCCCCATCCTGTGTCTTATGTACACAACCACACAAACCCACAGCCTTTTGAAAGCACAGGATGCTTTTCCCCAGACTCCTTGCCCTGCTGGTGAAAGGGGGAACTGAGCCCATACCATGCACTGGCACCTTCCCAGGGCCCGCCTGGGAAGGCCACGTGGAAGACCGGTCCTGAGGGGTAGAACAGAAGCAACTCTAGGCCCTTTGCTTTCTTGAACATGTCACTGGGCAATGAAAAGCTAGTCTACAAGGAGCAAAGGGAAATCGGGAGTCCTGACCCTACAATCCTAAGGGTTGAGGGTCGAACAAATTTACAGGAAGTTTTTTTGAGTCAGACTAAATTGGGGGTACCTCTAATGAGCTCCACTGAGTATGGCCTTTGGGACTTGGGTTCTGTTGGGGAAGCTCCAGGGTTCCTCCCTAACTTGATCCAAGTTGATCTTTTCGAACTTGTGAACTTGGGGAGGGAGGGAGGTAAGGGAGCTGACTTGATTTGCCCTTCAGAATCTTACATGTTTTTGTGTACTGTGGCCTTTCACAGTGCCAGGTACATCAGACTTCCTGTGTTGTGATGTTGTAATAGTTTCCTCACTAGCAAGACAGGGAATTGGAAAGACTGTTTTTTTGTGGTTTTTAATTGATGTGTACATATATGTGTAACCTTTTGCCCCTCCTTTTTAACTGTTGTAATTCTTCCGGGGTGGGGGGAGGAGTGGAACAGAAAAGGAGGCCACCCCCTTGACATATTGAGCTAAAGAATGCTAACTCGTGGTGGTAGATTTACAGCAGTGTCTCCCATTGTTGTGCAAGATGGAGTTTGCGAAAGCCATCTCTATCCCCTGGTCTAGTAAGCGTCACTTAGCCAGGGCTGTAATTAGTGGCTGTGCACTATTCACTGGACGTTCGGTGGTGGGAACTCTGGGAGCTGAGCCAAACATCTCGCCCTGGCACAGCCAGATAGGGTGCCCAGGGAGGCTGGTAGGCCTCTAGCAGGAGGGGCGGGGCTAGGTCCTTCCCATGAGAATCAGATCCCAAGAGGCAGGAATTGCTTTTCTTAGCCAGTCTTTAAACCTGCGACCCTCTCAGGAAAATATACATACCCAGTAGATTTGCATGCAATGTCAAGGATTTTCTAGTGGCCTCTTGAAACCCATTTCAGGAACCCAAGTTAGGATGGCATCTCCAGGAAGGGATTATTACTCCAGTCTAGCACCTTCAGGGGCAGAATCTCTGCAAGTATCCTGGAGAACAGGGAAGCACCTCTAAAGATTAGAGAGGTCCCACACGGGGATAGACTCTCCTGGGACCCCAAAAGCTCTGTCCCTGCCAATGAGCATTAGACTATGTGGGAACCTCCGCCTTTGGGCAGATGTGATGTTTTGATAACTAGGTCACTTTTGTGTTTAATTCTTGTATCTTTGGCATTGCCTTTGGGTTTCAGTCCCAACACCTCCTCACTGTCTTTTCTTCCTTCTAGATTGTGTCAGGGAAAAGGGAGGCAAGGTCCTGGTCCACTGCGAGGCTGGGATCTCCCGCTCGCCCACCATCTGTATGGCTTACCTCATGAAGGCCAAGCAGTTCCGCCTGAAGGATGCCTTCGATTACATCAAGCAGCGGAGGAGTGTGGTCTCGCCCAACTTTGGCTTCATGGGCCAGCTCCTGCAGTATGAGTCTGAGATCCTACCTTCCACGCCTCAGGCTCCTTCCTGCCAAGGGGAGGCAGCCGGCTCTTCGTTCCTCGCCCATTTGCAGACACTGAGCCCTGACATGCAGGGTTCCTACTGCACGTTCCCTACCTCGGTGCTGGCACCCATGCCCACCCACTCGACAGTCTCAGAGTTCGGCAGGAGCCCCATGGCCACGGCCACATCCTGCTAAAACCAGGATGGGGGAACCAGCCGAGCCCCAAGAACAACTGTGATTCTGCTTTTTTTTAAACTCGTGGACATTTCATACCTGTGCAATACTGAACACCTCACTGGCCCGCCGCCCCAGTGGGACAGTGAGTGGTCACCAGGCTTGCAAACGAACTTCACATGTACAGCGGGGATAGGTTTTGGGGACCGAAGGAAGGCCAAGCCATTATGAGAGCACAGCACGTGCCGACTACTGTACTTCCAGACCCCCTGCCCTCTCAGGACCGCCCAGGCCCTGCACCTCCAAGCTCGCCTTTTCATTTCAAGCGCAAGGCAATAAATACCCACAGCAACGTGGGAGAGAGCAGTTGCTAGACCAAGAGAAAAGGCAGTTACGAAGCCAAGTTCTGAAGGAAGCACAATTTCCACCTTACTTTTTTAACTTTGGCAGTCTCTGCATCTGTCTCTTGCTTCAGGGCATAAGCTGATCACCACCCAGTCAGGAAAGTAACCCCTCCAGGGTGTGGAGGGACAAGATCGAGATGCTTATATGAACCCTCACATGGTTTTGAGACTCCCTATTGGGTCCCGTGTGAAGGCAGGTGGTTGAAGTAGCAAGACATTGACCTGTCTGGGTGTCCTTTCCACTGGGGGTTCTTCCCTAACTTTGGACTTCGCATGATTCTTATTCATACTTGAACTTTTCTCGTCACCCCCTCCTCAAAGCATCTCTTGTGTCATTCGAAAAGAGCTCTTCAGACCTTAGACCAAAAATCACCCCTTTGAGGGGGTGGCTGTGGGTGCCAAGAGTAAAAGGGACCCGCTGCGTCCGGGTCACTGGCATTGAACTGGTCGTTTCCCCAGCTTGCTGTCCTTAATGTGTGCTCGTCTTGTCTCTTGTGACACATGTTTTCTTCCCTACCCCTGGGGGTTGTCTTCAGGCTGTGGACTTCTAGGGTTTGCAGATTTTGTAATGTGGTACTTCTTTTTTTGTCTGTAGTTTCTCTCTCCAGGGGAAAAGGCAATAATTTCCTAAAATCCATATGAATGTGAAGAACAGCAGTATGTTACTGGGTGTTGTTTTTTTATAGTGCAAAATAAAAAGATTAAAAGAAAACACTTCTTCATGCTGGTAAGTTGGGGTAATAAGGTAGGAGTACATTTAGGTGAGGACCCAGCCTCTTTCACTGGATCTAAACACTCTTTCCAGGTGAGCACTAGGGTGATGGTGGACATGCTACTGTAGGCGTGAGTCTGCGTGTCTGCTTGAGAGCTGGTGATCTTAGGGATACAGAATATTGCTTTCCAACTGAGAAGGCTTCCCTAAGCTCCCTTGCAGGAGGAGTCCTTAGGCGCCGGCCACATGACAGGTGGTCAGAGCATCCACACACTCACAGCTCTTCACCCCCACAAACCCGGGCAAGGTGGTCTCCTTGAACCTCAGATGCCTCATCAGTGAAATGAGCTAGAGGATCCCGAAGGTCCCTTAAAGCTCAAGGCTTTGATTGTAGCAAACCCGAGTGCCAAGCTTGTGGTCAGCCTCCTTCTAGTGCCTGGCACATGGCAGAAACACTCAGAAAATTTTGGAAAAATGCCCGAGGGACAGAGAAGTGAACTAGGTGACTAGGTCACCATACAGGCCTGTCTCTCCCACTTCTTTTTTACCCTTGGAACTAATTCTGCCAGGGAATTCCCTCAGTGAGTGAGTGGGTTTAAGTCCAAGGCTGGATCGACTTGCCTACTCAGTTTTCCTCTGTTGGAGGAAGGTAGCAATACTGACTTCTTTCCACACCTGCTGAGGCCTCTCTCCCAGCCTAACTCTTGGGGCCTGTTTTCCTAATCAGGACCTGATGTGGGAATTCTAAATATACCCCTCAATTCTGGGGGGCCCAAAGAGCTGGCCAGCTCCCCTCTCAGGCACCATGTCCACAAATAGCAAGATGGCAGCCTAGCCCAGGGGAGCCCAGCTCTTTCTAAACATGTCACCTCCAAGGCCTGGCTTGAGGCCTTGCTCTCTGCAAGCCTTTCGTTTTCACCACTCTCCCTCCACAGACGCCTTGGAAAGAATTCCACTCGCACTAGAGAGGCTGCATTTCCTTCACCTTGTGCGCCTCGTCTGCATAATCCAAGTGGGGATTTCACAAAGTGAAGAACATTGGCCGCGAAGCGTGAAGTCCTGGCTTCTAGCCCTTGCCCTATACCCCTAACCCTAACACCTTTGGAGCTAATCTCAGCCCTGCTGGACTGAAATGCTCCAGGGCTTGGGGTAGTTCCTTCCGGGGTTTCAAATCCCTGAGCCTCTGCTCGGGCCTTGGAATGTGGCCCGGAAGCCTATCCAGGTGTGCAGTGGCCACAGGGACCTGGGGCAGGGAGAGCAAGGGGGTGGGAAGCTGGGTGCAGGCTGGAGTGATGTGCTAAGCTGCGTCTCACTTGCTGACATTTGCTTTATTGCATTAAAGTCTTTCTCTGAAGGGTGAGTAAGTCCTCTAAATCAGGCGTATGAGGATTGCTCATAAGCCCATGAGTCACTGAGGGGTAAGCCAAGTGAAGCCCCACAGCTGGGGATGGCTTTTGACTCTCACTCCCTTAATAATCTCATTAATTACACCTCCATCTGTGTCAAGACCAACTTCACACTGGCTTCCAGTGCCAGGTGGGGAATTGAAGCTGGTGCTGTCTGGCTCCTTCATCCCCAGATTTTGATGAAACACTTGTTAGTCTCTAGCAACAGTTCTGGGAGAATAGAGATAGTAGCTCTCCCCCGATTGTTTCCCAGTTGGGTCTGTGGTGAGCACCTTGAGGTCCATCCTTGCTCCTGAGCTGGGCCTGATGGGGCAGGAAATGTACGAGCAGCCCCATACCAGCGTGCTAGCAGAAGCCCTGTGTACCTGCTGGTCTCCTTTGTGCGAGGACCTGGAAAAATACTGTCCAGGCCTCAAAACCCTAAGCAATCTCTGGATTGCTGGTGGTTTATCTTCTGAACACCATAAAGCTCATGCCTGCCCTGTTTCCTTCCTTGCTCAGCCCAGTAGGCAGCCCAGAATGAAAGTTTTCACCTTCCTGTGACAATTATACGATTGTCTGCAATGACATTATGGCATTTGTCTCCGTTAAAACTTCCCAACTTTCTTTTACTTCTATTTCCACAGTGACTTACAAAAAAAAAAAAAAAATACAAATCAGCCCTTGGGTAGTAAAGTTGAGACATATCATACGCATTTATGGAATGAAGTGGTGTATGAATACATGTGGAGAGAAGCCTGTTTATGTTCAGTGCTGCTACTCCATCTCATTCTGGAGGATTCATCCACCCAACTAGGTTCCTTTGCCTTCTCAGTAACTCTGCCAAGGTCTATTCTTTCTGGAATAAATTCTGTACAGACTCCAAGGCCCATGGCTCGGGCCCTCAGTCCTTGTCTCTCAATTTCTGGGACTGCCCTCCACTTCAGCCTGGCATTCTGCCGCCAGTAAGCTCTGATAGGGAGAAACCACGAACAGATGGACAGATTGCTCCAAGCCACAACACAGTCCCTCCTGATGTCTACACACCCGATGTGAGGGGATGTGATCTGTGCTTAGATAACCAGCACTGCTCCATCCATTTAGCACTGAGCACCTGCCAGCACCTGGGATTCAGTAGGGCAGGATGAGAGCCAAGTGGCCCTACACTTAAGGACTTCATAAGTATTAGTGACTTTCAGCACCAGACTGGAGCTGGTCTTTGAGGCCCCACACAATCCCCTTCCCCACTCCCTTCTCCTAGACTCCAGCTTCAACCTCTCCCCTCTGGCTCCAGCATACTTCATGCAAGCTCCCTGCATATAGCAGCCTGTACACGTGGCCATGTTCACCTGTGCGAAGAGCTGAGCTCTGGTGTGGTGCATCCCGTAGTTTCTCTTGTATTGTTTCCTAACTTGTTTTGAATGCTGTATTAGCCTTGGCCCCCGCCCCCACCCCCACCTCCACCTTCACTGGAATACAAAAAAATAAGTGTTTTTATTGGGCAGCCCGGGTGGCTCAGCGGTTTAGCGCCACCTTCGGCCCAGGGCGTGATCCTGGAGACCTAGGATAGAGTCCAACGTCCAGCTCCCTGCAAGGAGCCTGCTTCTTCCTCTGCCTGTGTCTCTGCCTCCCTTCCTCCCTCTCTCTCTCTCTCTCTCTCTCTGTGTGTGTGTGTTTGTGTGCTTCTCATTAATAAATAAATAAAATATTTTTTTTAAAAAGTGTTTTTATTGAGCCCAGTCCTTTCTCAGTCATTTGGCCAACCAAAGGTGTGTAGTAAGCACCTACCATGCCCCACAAACCAAGTTAGGCAGGCACAGAGGCATTGTCAGATTTAATCCTCACCACAACTGTACTAACATTTTTTTATTATCTTCATTTCCAGATGTACAAACAGCGTCAGGGTATTGAGTAAGTTGCCCAAGGTAGGTCACACGGCCAGTAGAGTGAAGATGAAGTTATGTCACTGATCTCGTACCCCTCTGAGCACCTACCTGAGATGTATACTCAATGCTTTTGTCCACTGGGCTTGTATTTGCCCAGTCTTCTCAGACCACATTAAGGGAAATAATGTCTATTTGCTCTCCACACACTGGCGTTCTGACAGCCACTACACACACCACATTCCTTCCTGCCTCAGGACCTTTATCCATGCTCCCCCCTCTGCCTGGAACATGTTTCTCCCCTAAATTCAACTTTTAAATTTTAACTAAATAACTCCCACTGGTCTTCAAGTCTGAACTCAGACTTTCCCTCTGCAGGGAAGCCCTCCCAGAGTCCCAGATCAGGTCAGATGTCTGTTCATCTCTCATAGCTCCCTATCTATAGTTTTTCTTCATATTTTGCCAAAGTTTAAAGAGTATTCATTTGTCTGTGATCATTTTATTAACATATTTCTCCTCCAGACTAGAAGCACCAGGAGAACAAAGATTACATTACATTTCAAGAGGGACCCAGGGGGTCCCTGGGTGGCTCAGTTGGTTGAACATCAGACTCTTGATTTTGGTTCAGGTCATGATCTCAGGGTCGTGAGATCAAGCCGCCATCAGGCTCCATGTTCAGCAGGGCATCTGCTTGAGACTCTTTCCCCTCTCCCTCCACTTCTCTCCCCCAGCACTCTCTCTCTCTCTTTCTCTCAAAAATTAAATAAATAAATAAATCTTTTCTGAAAATAGAGAGAGAAAGAAAGTGAGAGAGAGGGACCCACCATGAGCCTGACTTACAGTGGGTTTTTAGTTAAGCGTCGCTTGAGTAAAGGAATGAATAAACAGAAAACTGGGAATGAGAAACTGTTAGAACCAGAAGCTGGGCTCTCCATCTCCCTCAAACCCTGTGCCATCCTCTACACACAAGCTCCTTTACCCCATGCCATTTGCCAGTTCCCTCCCAATCCTCAAGGAAACAATTTCCTGGGTATAATGACTGCTACCCCGTTGGTCAGAGTTCATGTCACCACACCGCCCATAGGTCAGGCGTCCATTTTGGGACCAATCAGTTTCCACTAAAGTCAGAGACCTGCCTAGATCAGACTCCCTGAGCAGGGCTATAGACAGGGCAGTTTCAGCTAGAAGGACTAACATGCCATGTAAAGGACTCAAAGCCAGCCGACTAAGTATTAGATAAGAAGGCCCAGGAGACGGCTATATAGCCTGGGCACAATGAAATTCAACCCTACTCGTCTTGTCCTACTGCCAGTGAGCACCCTAAGGTGATGAATTATGGTACCTAAATTTAATATTCTGGTAGTATTTATTTATAGCAGTAGAGCAAACTGCTTCACACCCACACACCCACCACCATTAACTTATAAAGTTTGCAGAAACCAAGAAGCCACTAGGTGGGAGCTTAAAATAGACCCTTGAAGCATCTGTACAGTTTTCATTCCGGGCTTCTCTAGCAGCCAGGAGAAAATGTGCTGCTTGAGAGGAACAACCTCTCAGATAGTGAAGCCTCAAATATATCTCTATGGTAGGAAGACGAAAAGTATTTATTTCCAGCCTTCAAGTCAAAGAGCAGTAGACTTAGAATAAGGAAGCATAGCTGCCAGATTCAGGGAAACTAACTACTTAGAATCTTTTAAAAGATCTTTAAAAAAGCACTTACAATGGGTAGGCT